TGCAGGATGAGAATGGCAGATATGCAATAAACACCAGTTTGAGCTTCTTGCCTCCCAGGTACCATCCTTCCTCAGTTGGCATGAGACTCGATGGAATGCTGTGGGCCTATATATAAGCAGCAAAAACAGAATGCTGCAGAGGTTGCTTTTAAAGCTCAAGGGTGGGTGGTAGAGAACCAATGACCCATCTCAGAGTAGATTATTTGTATGTTCTGAGCCAGACTCCTCGGTTTTGGATTCCCCACCAATTTTACATAAATGCATCATTCTTTGGACGGCTCCTGGGTGCTCAGAATTGATCTGATGCCCCATGTTACCTATTTAACCCTCACAGCACTGTGAAGAAGGCATGATTCACAGTCTTGCTTTACTGATGAGGAAACTCAGGCTCTGAGAGAGAGATTGACCAACCCCGGTCATACACCCAAGGGATGAAGGAGTTGGTATTCCAACCCAGCCTGTCCAATCCAGAACCTGTGTTCTTTACCTCACCAGCCTAAAGATGGCATTTCTGAGGTTTAACCCCAGCTATGATATTAAAAAATGATTAAATAGGCTGGGCTAGGTGGCTCAGCCTGTATTCCCAGCACTTTGGGAGGCCGAGGTGAATGGATTGCCTGAGCCCACGGGTTCGAGACCCACCCGGGCAACTTGACGAGACCTCATCTCTATGATAAACCAAAAATAAGCCAGGCATGGTAGCGCGTACGTGTAGTTCCAGCTACTTAGAAGGCTGAGGCGGAAGGATCGCCAGAGCCCAGCAGGTCGAGGCTGCGGTGGCCGGGAGCAGTCACTGCACTCCAGTCTGAGTGAGACTCCAACTCAAAAAAAAAATGATTAAATAAATGCCTCGTTCCAGAAAAAAATTCAGAAGATTGTCTCATACATGTAGTTACCTTCTCCCCAACACACACACACACCCACACACCCACACACACACACACACATCACACCCTCACTCAACACACTCAAATGACAAAACTTGCAAGCTTAAGAAAAGGGATGCATGTAGACATCAAGTACCCTTGTAACTTTGCATCCTAGAGAATTCCCTACACTTACTTACAACTTCTTCTCTTCCCTGTCCCTGCCCCTCAAAACTCCTTCACCAACAGTAAATTTTCCTGTCAAAACATACTTGGTTACATGCAGCGCAACCAAAATTGCTGCTATTAGTTTAATTGAGACAGGGTGATTATAAATAAATTACATGCAGTGCTACTGAAATTGCTGCTATTAGTCTAAATTAAGACAGGGTGATCAGTCATCACCAACTGTGGCTTAATTCAGAATGCATCCAATGTGGATGACCACACAGGCCCTTTTGTCATCTGGAAGCCCAAGGGATGCAAAGCCAATTCCCCAAGAGGCTGGGCTTCATGGCCACCGATCTTCTGAGCATCAGTAACTGAGAGAACAACTGTCCCTGCAACCTGGTTGGTGAGGGCCCCTTGCAGGCTGATAATGAACTTAGAAACTTGGAGCTAGAAAGGACCATGGTTAAAAGCCTCCCCATGCCAGGCGTGGTGGTGCATGCTTATAATCCCAGCACTTTGGGAGGCCAAGGTGAGAGGACTGCCCGAGCTCATGGGTTCGAGACCAGCCTGGGTAACTTGGCAAGACCTCATCTCTACAATAAATTTTTTTAAAGTAGCCGGGCATGGTGGTGTGTGCATATAGTACCAGCTACTTGGAAGGCTGAATTGGAAAGCTCACCTGAGCCCAGCAGGTCGAGGCTGCAGCTGCAGTGGCCATGAGTGTGCCACTGCATTCCTGCCTGGGTGACAGAGTGAGACTCCAACTCCAAAAAAAAAAAACTCCCCACATGGAAAATCTGTAGAGTACATTATGAGTGTGTGCTCACAAAGGGTGAATCTTCTGCCACTTCCCCAAAATGACTTGAGATGGATTTTTCATATTATTTTACTTTTTTTCCTGATTATAAAAGAAAACTGTGCCCCAGTAGAAAATTTCAAAAGCGTAAATATATAGCAGAATGAAACAATTACTGTTACTCATTTTCCTCAATACCTAGAGGTAATATTTGTTAGGGTTTGAGGTATTTCTTTGGCCATTTCCTTTGCATATTTATATATGCCCTCTGTCATAGTTAATGCCTACTGGATTATATTAAGCTTTTATTTTAAATTTTAACCCATCTAGACAAGGCACATTAAAGACAAACAGTAAACCAAGTGGGGTGAGAAGTGGCCATGGGCATGCCATTCCCAGAGCAGCACGATGATGGGCAGGTCCACTGATTAAAGGAAGTTCTTGTCTTCCTGGTTTCCTGCATCAACCCTCAGATCTCAACGTTCCAGCCTGAATTAGGCTATACAGACAAATAAGGGCTCGTTCTGCCATGAGGAGCAAATGAGCAAATGGCCCCATGGAGATCACTTTCTTCCTTTATTGACTAAATTACAGAAATAGACATTCACCTAGGTGCCTTACCAAATCAAAAGTCTACATTTTATATATAGGGTTGGAGAAAGCCATTACTATCAACTATTTAAATAAGACTTGCAAGTGAGGACGATTGTAACAACCAAATCTAATGACTGGCCAGTGCTAAATTTTTGTTTAAAGTTTGGAGGAATGACAAGGGTACCTGAATAATAAAAATTTGTATACTTAACCCTGAATTGTACCCCACATCTTTGAAATAAAAAATTAAAATAAAGGTATGGAGGTATGGACAGATCGGTGATCTTCCTTTAGTCCAGTAGACGGATATCTAGAAGGGTGTGTTAGAGCCATGTAGAAACCAAATCATGGCACCCAGTTTCTTACCTCGTTATCCCAAACCAGCTTGCCTTCACTGGGTAGAAAGGAGACCCTACAGTAGTTTTAAGTTCTAGGATTCCTAAGGTCTCTTATCTGTAATTAATGATACAAAACCAGTCAGTACTTTAGGGAAAACAAGAATTATACTCTGTAATAATCATATTTTGGAATCTTTTCTGAACTGAATAATCACTTAATATATCTGGGATTTAACTTCGGAATTAAAAAAAGTATAGTAATTCTATATCACTTTTCCAGTGTGCAACATTTGATTTTTTCTATTTTTTAAAAAAATTATAGCCTAGGAAACAAACTCTGTCCTTTCCTCTCTTTCCATCTTCTTTCTTTCAACAAGTGTTCTTTTTATGTGCCATACTCTATGCTACAGATTCTCAAAAGAAATTACATTATATACATTGACCTCTACTTCTTTGCAATAGCTGGTAGGCACTGGTTTAAAAGAATAACCACAAACCCCCCCAAAAAAACCAAGCAAGCAAGCAAAATAGAAAGCAATACTAAAGATCTAGGGATAGGCCCAGTGCAGTGACTCATGCCTGTAATCTCAATGCTTTGGGAGGCCAAGGTGGGAGTATTACTTGAGGCCGAGAGTTTAAGACCAACCTGGGCAGCAAAGAATTTTTTAAAATTAGCCAGGGGTGGTGGTGGATACCTGTAATCTCAGCTACTCAGGAGGCTGAGGAGGGAAGATCTCCTGAGCTCACGAGTTTAAGGCTGCAGTGAGCCATGAGGATGCCACTGTACTCCAGCCTAAGCAACAAAGGAAGAAAATAAAATAAAAGGAATGAAATTCAAGGAATTTTTCTCATTTTGAAAGACTCCTTTAGATATCATGCTCTGTGTTACAAGCCTGTTTTGAGTTCATTAACACCTTGGTTTGAAGGGACAGTAGAGCAAAGAAATTGCAAACCATAGTGGTGAGAGGCATGGTGTCCTGGTGAAGGCTTGGAGAGGACAAGGTGGAGTACCACGGGGATGACATCAGACTCTCATCTCACCAAAGTTCAGATTACAGTCAACTTTTTTTGAAAAACGCTTTTTTGATCAATTGGGATCACTTCTGAATCAGGAATGTGCATCCCACCCAAAACACTCAGAGAAGCGCTTGGTCTCTTTTTACTCGGAATGTGTGGCCTACAAATCTCTGGGCAAAGGCTGCCTGCAAGTCAGCCTCAGAGGAGAAACTGTTATTATCCTTTTTGTGTCCCAAGACGGGTTTCTCAGTCAACTGAGCCCCTGCCAAGTTCTAAAGGTTCACAATTACTGACGTGTAATCAAAAGAGCATGGAACTGGGATCCAAATCCTGGCCTCACCTTCACATGAACCACATGGAAATAAGGGGACAGTCATAAGGGACTACCCTACAATTACCTTACAAGTTTTCTGTGAGTGTTATACGTGACATAAGTTACGAGCACACACAGACTAGCACGCAGTAACACTCAATAAATGGTCTTTTAAAAAGTCGTAATTGCAGTAAGTATGTTTGTCTATCAAGAGGTTAGGAAGCCGGGCTCGGTGGCTCAGCCTATAATCCCGCGCCTTTGGGAGGCTGAGGTGAGTGGATTGCCTGAGCCCGCGGGTTCGAGACCCGCCTGGGAAGCGAGACCTCATCTCTATGATAAATCAAAAAATCAGCCAGGCGTGGTAGCGCATGCCTGTAATTCCTGCTACTCGGAAGGCTGAGGCAGAAGGATGGCCGGAGCCCAGCGGGTTGAGGCTGCGGTGGCCGGGAGCGGCCACTGCACTCCAGTCTGGGCGACAGAGTGAGACTCCAACACACACACAAAAAAAAGAGGTTAGGAGGCAGGGCTATGCATGAATTAAGTGTATATTGCCTATCTTTGTCCTAGGCATCCATCCTTCTAGCTATGGCTAGTTTAGCAAGTTCTAAGTCAGATACACCGTAGATGAGATTCCTTTAAGACCAGAGTTCACCTGCACACCGTGTGCACAATGGAGTCCCACAGGAGGAAACTCATGCTAAACTGAAGCTACCATTAATGACATGTCACTCACAGTATCTGGTAAGAGTGTTTACCCTAAGTTTAACCCAGACTATTTTTAGGGGATACTCAGGAGAAGGAAATATGTGCCATCATAGCCCGAGAGCCCCTGTTCAAGGCATCCATGAAAGTTCCGGGTCTCTCCCTTCGAAGCCATGAAGAATCAGTTGTCTCTTTTCTCCTAGGGTTTTAAAGATCCTGTGTACCGAGCAAGAAGGAAGCAGTTTGCTGACATCGCCTACAACTATCGCCAGTAAGTTCACTTTTCTTGCTGGGGCAGGAGGAGGAAAAGATCACACTCTTAGCCTACCTCTCTCTCTCTCCCTCCTATGCCTTAAACCAATCTAGGTTGGAAAGTACCATCATGGAGGGTGCGGTGTGTGTGTGTGTGTGTGTGTGTGTGTGTGTGTGTGTGTGTGTGTGTGTGTGTAAATCCACCCTTTAATAACATGTTAAAAAAATTGCTGCTAGACAAAACAAAATTACCCACCATGCCAGGGCCCTGCTCTCTCTCCAGCTTTGTTGTCTAATTACGCAGTGGTGTCTGAAGTAATTATAAAAAGCCTCAGTCCCGAATAAAACAGTCTCCAGTCTCTTCCACATTAAACAGGGGAGAAGGAAAAGAGAATCATTTACATTCAAGAAGGAGCTGGCTGCTTTGCTGAAATAATGAATCATTTGAGATTTCAGGCCAGCCAAGCTCCAGTGTTCCACTTTTATCTGGTCTGACCCAGCTGTGAAGGGTAATTTTAGGATGGGTTTGTTTTTCTCTGTCTGGGATTCTGTGCCCCTCCCCTACCCTATTTTAGCCAAAAGAAAATGCAAATTATCAAATATGTTGTTTGGGAAGAGAACTATTTTACTCTTTTGAGTTCAGAAACTACAGAAATGCTGCCATGAGAAACTTGGTGTTTTAGGGACAGCCTCATTCTCAAGTTAAGAGAATAAAAAAAGACATGTACAAAAAGAATCGTAAAAATTGTTCAGAATGCTGAGATCATAATAATTAAACAACTTAGAGTTTAAGGGACATCAAAAAGATGACAGTCTTCTGTACACTGAATAGAAAATTACCTTTGTGGGAAAAGAAAAAAAAAACCCTGAAACAAATTAAATTTAACAGAGTTTAATTGAGCAAAGAAAGATTAGAAAATTGGCAGCCCCCGGAATCACAGCAGATTCAGAGAGAAGAGACACTCCAGGGCAGCCATATGGTGGAAGAAGATTTATGGAAGGAAAAAAGAAAGTGACATACAGAAAACAGTAATGAGGTGCGGAAACACCTGGATTGGCTACAGCTCTGTTTTTGCCTTATTTTAGCCTGGCTTAATAGCTGGCCATGTTTGATTGGCTGAAACTCCATGGTTGGCACAAGAGTCGCCTACAGTCTGTTTACACATCCAGTTGGGTTACAGTTCACTGTGTGAAAGATTATGAAGGAATTACTAGGCCGAACTTAAAATATGTAAGGAAGCAACTTCAGGCAAACTTCATTGAACAACTCCCTCCTTTTGATCACCTGCTCAACTTCGAGAGAGTAACCAAAACTTTAGCCATTGGTGTCACTTTGTCACCATCGTAAATGTACTCCTGTGGTCTTGAATCTTACTTGAAATAGCTGAACAGTGGGTTTTGTAAGGTGGAAGCAAGGCCTTTAGAGTTTTTTTTTTTGTTGGGGTTACAGTAGAGGGGACTTTCTTGTGCTGGAATCTTCTGCTTTTAGGAGAAAAACAAAGCCTCGTCTGTTTTAGGTCTTGTCTGCTTTCTCAGAGTTCAATTTGATTATGTCACATTTTGCATGAATGACCCCATTTTGGTTTGGTCTGGAGCTCAGTCCAAAACAATGTCCTCCTGTAATTCTGTTTAGCAATTCCCCCTTTCGGTCAGGTTCTCACTTAGGTAGTTTTTTTTTTGAGTTGGAGTCTCACTGTCGCCCAGACTGGAGTGCAGCGGCCGCTCCCGGCCACCGCAGCTTCGACCTGCTGCGCTCCGGCCATCCTTCCGCCTCAGCCTTCCAGGTAGCTGGAACTACAGGACCGCGCTACCACGCCCGGCTAATTTTTTAGATTTATTATAGAGATGAGGTCTCGCCAAGCTGCCCAGGCGGGTCACGAACCTGCGGGCTCAGGCAATCCACTCACCTCAGCCTCCCAAAGACGCTGGATTACAGGCTGTGTCACCGAGCCTGGCTTCACTTAGATGATTGTAACCAAAATGTAAGGCCAAAGTGTCACTCTCAGTTACCATGATTTTGAGTTTCTGGTCTCAGCACTTCATTCACAGTTTTCATTGTCTTCGTGGTTATGCGTTTCTCTGAGTTTTTGGTGTTCAGTTGAAGAGAGACCATCTGGACATTCTACAGATAGCTGCATGCAAACTTTTAAAACTTTTGAGAGAGTACAGCGCACGAAGGAGTCTACTGTGACCATCAGGAGGATAATACCAAGTGTTTGAAATATGTCCCTTAGCCAAGGTCCCCATGAACCAAACCAACTAAAATCAAATAGATGAAAGAATTAGCTAAAGAGTTCATTCATTTTAGTCAGGCATCCTCTTCATTAATCTCCAAAAACTGAATTTCTGTAATACCCAACATATTCCTCCATGTGTAAGATGTATCAGCAACTGCACAGATACTTCTTTATTTAGCTAGTAAGTAATCTATTTAGCACAGCTTTCACAAGAGAATGTAAAGTCTGTTGTTCAACCATAGCCTTGGTAGTAGACTCTTCTACAGAGTCTATGATAAGGGATACATTTACTCAAAAGCATGGAAAAGAGACCTAACAAATGATGCCCATCCGGAAGAGTAATGGCCTCCTAGAAAGGTTCTTTTTAGCCTATGATGTAGGTTAAGAGGCAAGTACCAATGTTCTGTTTCTGACAGGTTATGAAGCCACGAAGGTACTATTAAAATTTCTCACCCAGTATTAGCCCTTTATCTCCCATCTACCAAGGCATAAAATTGTTCCTGCATAATGTTGGCTATGCAATCCACCACAAATAAAATAAACTCCATAAGTGTACAAGAGAGACCTCACTTTCAGTTCTAGTGTACACAGAGACATAAGCAAGGGAAAAAAATTGAGATATAAGACTCCCCTGACGGGAGAGAAATTTTTATCTGCGATCTTGGGAATAAGCTGTTCATGTCTGGGATGTCATCTGCTTCTGAAGAGAAACTTCCCTGGTAGTTTTACCTTAAGGTTACCCATGGGTTAGAGTCTTGAGAGGCCCTTCTGAGCTGTAAAATTATGAACCCAAGGTTTGAGGTCTTAAAGTGTGGGCAACAAGGGAAGTCTCTCTCTGATGTTCTCAGAAGACTCAGCATCCACCCCTCCAGATTCTAGATTGTGAAGAAGTTAATTGTCCTCAGTTCAGTGGACTATGAAAAGCTTTACTTACCTGGTGAAAATATACTTTGACATGATGCAATACATCCTTGCAGCATTTGAACATATCAGAGTTTAGTAGCAGAAGATACATGAAGTTCTATTATTAGGTGCACAGGGCTTCCAGTGACTATTTCATAAGGTGTCAATTTATGTTCCACTGGAAATGGATCTGACTGTCATCAATCTGCAATGCCTTGGGCCGAGGTAATCCAGGCAACTTAATTCACTTTGCCTAATGCTATTTTATCTGTATACCTTATTTGACCATTGTACAACTTGTCCAGTGAAAAGATATCTTTATTATTGGTGATTTTTTCATCTCATGAGAAAAGCACATTTCTTAATAAGCTTTTGAGTACTGTTATAACATTGGCCCTCTTGCATAGAAACTTTCCATATATCTAGAAAACATGTGCTGAAAATGACAACTGATATAACACTATAAGAAAGGGATTGGCAGTTGAGGGATACTGTCAGGGTAGGGGGGAGGGGACACAAAATCAATAAGGGTGCCTGATCTCAAACCAGGCAAAGTGGGGACCAAAGAGAAGGAGGTTCAAACTTTACCTGTATGATGAACACTTGCATTCCTAATTTTGAATTGTACCCCACATCTTAAAACAAAAAAGAAAATGACAGTTGAATGATATCCCTTTATGAATATTAGATAGCCCATCAGGTAGCAGAAATGTACCTGAAATTTCAATTGTCTTTCCAGGTTTATGGGTTTGACAAACAAAACATTGGTCATAAACCATTTTCCAATTAAGAACAGTATATATATATATATATTCTTTTTTGTAGAGACAAGGTCTCACTGCCCAAGCTAGTCTCAGAATCCTGGGTCAAGCAATCCTCTCACCTTGGCCTCCCAAAGTGCTGGGGTTACAGGTATGAGCCACCATGACTGGCCTTATGCATTTAATTTGGATTATTTTATCTCTTCCATGATTAGTCATGAAATGTAGAGCTTTTACTGATGGAAGCTTTAAGGACTTAGAAAAGACCAGGTGATCATCCAGGCTGTCTATGAGTTCATGCTTAATATGGGACTTACATCCTTTTAAGTACCAAGTTTGTTTCTCCCATTTGGGTCACTAGCACTATTTGTCAGATGAGTTACCATAGGTAATTTCACTTAGACCATGAAGTTTGTTCAAATTGCACATCTAAACAATTTCAGCACTAACTGATTTAGCATGAAAATCTGGCAAAACATTTTGTTGGTATTCAATTAATTCTTTTTCTGCTTGGGTTAGCAATTTTATAAACCAGTCGGTCTCTTTAAAAGTTTTAGGAAATAGCCAGGCTCGGTGGCTCAGCCTGTAATCCCAGTGCTTTGGGACGCTGAGGTGAGTGATTTGCTTGAGCCCGCGGGTTCGAGACCCGCCTGGCCAACTTGACGAGACCTCATCTCTACAATAAATCAAAAAATTAGCCAGGCGTGGTAGCATGCACCTGTAGTTCCTGCTACCTGGAAGGCTGAGGCGGAAGGATCGCCGGAGCCCAGCAGGTCGAGGCTGCAGTGGCCGGGAGCAGCCACTGCACTCCAGTTTGGGTTACAGAGTGAGACTCCAACTCAAAAAAAAAAAAAAAAGTTTTAGGAATTCTTACCCAGTCCAGATGATATGATACTAAAGATATCACTTGAATGCAGAAATCTTTATTCAAAAGATCTTGTCAGGGTCCTTTCCATCCCATTATGAACCTCCCTGAAGACACAATACCCTAGGATTTTGCTTGCCTGTGAAGTTTTCAGAAACTGCATGAGGATCAAACAATTAACTATGGAAATTGCTTGAAATGGTCATAGTTAAGACACAGTTGACAAGGAAACGTGGTTATATCCGGGGCCTAT